TGGTGCAAATTACTGACCTCTGTCATCATTTTAAGTGGGGGAACTTGCACAATCGGTGGCTGACTAAATACTTTTTTGCCCCACTGTATATCTATACATTCATCCTTTGCTGTCTTAGTCTTTCTGATCACTCAGAGTGCTTTAAGCCACTACTTTACAAATTCTTGCACATGGAACTTTAGTCACATTTTAGCTACCATGCATCCACACCTACAGCCTCCAATGTATCTAGCGTGCATGTCTTCAGACCTCTGAGAAGTCTGAGTATGCAGAGGATTGTGACACAGGAAACATGCTCCACACAGAAAGGTCTCAGCCACCAAAAAGATTTTAACAAGGAGGCAACAGAGCTAACCATTACCATCATCCCACTCCATAATCCACCCATCCATCCATCCATCCATCCATCCATCCTGCTCTTACTCTGTAGATCTTGTTCCGGACTCTGCAGTACTTCACCTCCTCCACCTTTACATAGGACAGACACTCCTCACAGCAGTGGCTGCCTTGGCAAGTTCCCTGCTGCGAGCAGCGTTTCTTGCACACTACAGTGGAATTCTAGAAAGATTATTTGTATTAGGATTTTTTAAATTTACTAACTGACCATTGCTTTGTTTAATGAAGCCTTTGCTGTTCAGGCTGATACCTGGCAGGTGCAGGTGGTACAGTTGTCGTGTATAAAGGAGGTGCCATTGTCATAGACCTGACTGTAGAACAGACAGCTTCCCAAAGAGAGATCGAACACCTTCCTCTGACCTGGAGGAAAGACAGAGCCATGTAGAGAAAAATGGGGATTAAAAACAGAATTGATTTGGTTGTATTTAAATAAAATTCTGACTGCTTCAGACATCCATGAGTGCAAAACAAAAATTCCCCTGCAAGATATGACTAAAGTTCTGAAATTAAAATTAATGGAGGCTGAGGATAAAAAAGATATTTAGTGTTATTAGGAGCAGCATTAACCCCTACTCTAAGGAGATTACATGTTTCATTTCCTATCTATGCTTCTGGCCACAGCTGTGTAATGTCTGCCACCTCATTTTAACAGGAGTTATGTTTTTGTGATGTTGCCTATCACTATGATCCCCATCATTGAATTTCCCAGTCTTTACCGACACATCTGGGACAACACTGTCCAGGCGGGGTGTGGGTGAGCTGAGAGGGGCAAGAAAGGACAGGACACACCTCCCTCGTGCAGAGAGTTCGGCCTCCCTGAAACAAAAACAAAATAACAGCAGAATTAACCTTTGAATGAAACCTCACATTTAGTTAACTTTCCTAGGAAGGTGATTTGTTTAATTTTGTTGTCAATCTTTAAGTGTTTCATGCATCACCAGAAAAGGTTGTGTGTGGTTGAATGTGTGACTTCATATTAACTTTGCAAACTACTCACATCTGACTTGTGAAATATGCTTAGATATTTGGTACAAAGCCTTCATCAGTGTAAAGTCCGCATATTTTGGGTCAGTTTTATTAGCACAAGCTAATGTTTGAACCTAGTTACCCGCAGAATCAATAACTGGTTTTCTGTCCCTGAATTCTTTTCACAGAGGCCAATAACAAATAGATAACTGTCTTTAGCCCCCATAAAATAAGACTCCATACACCGCCATATTTCTCTACTTGATGGCTTCAAAAGTACATTTTAAAACCCAGAAAATCCATCCATCCATCTTCGTAACATTTGTCCGGTTCAGTGTCACAGGTGGTCTGGAGGCTAACCCAGAGTGTGACAGGATATCACAGGATGAGGTAAATTCAGTGTAGTTATATTTATGTTGACAATTGGTTATTCATATTATTTTTTTAATTAAGACAAAACAGAAAATGTAACAGATCGATTAGTAACAACATGCTGATTTCTATTTGGGAAACACCTCTGTATGTGTGTATATGTGTTAAAAGCTTACAGGTTCTCAAACTAGGTGTCAGCACATTAATGCTTTAATGTGTTTATGGACAAACCTGCAGGGTTTGTTTATCTAAGGTGAGGGAACGTGTGTGTGTGTGTGTGTGTGTGTGTCAGAGAGAGAGAGAGAGCGAGAGAGAGAGCAAAGAAGTGATGGGGGAAAAACCAGGGAAAGGGATGTTGTTCCAACCAAAAATTTGTGACTCCCTGGAGAGTCCAACACTAACCAACTGGTGGGACAGAGCTCCTGCTTTGCTCAGAGGGGGATGTAAGTAGAGGGTATGTGTACTCACAGTGCAGGTACACTTGATGCAAGGTTTCCCTTCTGGACTGAACTCCTGATTCTCTTTATATAGACGACCCTCAAAGATACAACCTGCAGGGAAATACGTTACACCAAACAAATTATTTTTTTAATCCACTCACGTTCACACAAATCTTTTGCCTCTTCCCCTGAAGCTTTTATTACTGCACTTTTAAAGCAATTTAAATATAGACAACAGACACGGACACAGATCCTTCTACCAGCAGAACAAATACACATAAGTCAGAATTCAAAAAACTGCAGTGCAAGTATGTTGACTGTTTGCGCACATTGGCAAGTCCAAAAAGGTTACTCCCAATTTCAACATAAGTGGAATTTGTCATATCTCATAAATAAATAAAAACTCTGTTATGAAATAAGGTAAAAGATCCTGTTTCATCAACTCTGATCTTTTTCTCTCCCATTCTCCAGGTCAAATAAAATGTACTTCAAAATCACAACAAACTGCATGATGTTCCTCTTCTTTTTTGACCACAGAGCTAAGAGAAATTCATAACTATTGTTTAAATTTTCCTCATCAACTACAGGAAGCTTTGGGCTTAATGCTAGTTAATACATTTCCAGAAAGAGAAAGAAAAAGAGACAAAGAGCTATGACATAAATGTAGCACCCCTGGCTTCGACCTTCTGAAATTGCCGAGCACATCCTGAATTCGTTTTACTGTATCTTAACTATTAAGCTTGTTATCAGTTCCTGTTTAATATCTACAAATATTTCATTTCTGGGTTTCCTTTCAGCCAAACGGCCGCCCCTCCCTGAGCCTGGCTCTGCCAGAGGTTTCTTCCTGTTAAACGGGAGTTTTTCCTTCCCACTGTCACCAAAGTGCTTGTTCATAGGGGGTCATATGATTGTTGGGTTTATCTCTGTATGTATTATTGTAGGGTCTACCTTACAATATAAAGTGCTTTGAGGTGACTGTTGTTTTGATTTGGTGCTGTATAAATTAAATTGAATTTAACTGAATTAAAATAAACCTTATCTCCACTAATGTGGCTATAAAGAAAATGAATAAACAGAACAATTAATCTATGCATGTACAGTAGAAATAAAACTGAACCCCCAAATGTTTCCAGGCTACACTTATGTTAAAATTCATACTCACCGGGGCAGGTGGGGCAGCACTTCTTTGGGTGGTTTTTGGGGTTTTTGCAGTGGATTACACACTGAACTTCTGCTTCAGTGATGACACCTTCCTGTCACAACCAAGTGGAAAATATTTTCTTCAGTTTGTGCATCTTTATAAGTAACATGTTAATATATCTTTAATGCTGCTACTTTAAAGCTTATTGTTCCACCATATTGCCTTCCTTTTCTTGCTATACATATATCTTTCCTCGACTTCTGCTTCCTCTATTTGATTCTGTTCCTCATCACTATGTTTTTCCTACTTACCTGAATTCCTTCTGTCCAGTGCTGCGCTGTTCCTTTTTCTATCCATACCTCTTTTGAGCAGTTTTCCAGACCCGTCCGTGCTTACTCCACATTTCTTCTTAATCTTTCTGGCTTATTTCCTTTCTTCCATCCCTCCATTCTCATACTTGTTTTGTTTTCTTCCATGGCTACTCACTTTCTTTCCTTCAGTGTCTTTGTTTACTTCACTGCCTTTTCCTTTTCCAAACCCTTTTCCTTTTTTTCCCATCCTTCATTCTTTTAGCATTATGCCTTCTTGCTAACAACGTGTCTGTGTGTTTTTCACATCTGATTTGGGATCAGTGCTTTCAACTTGATGCCCGAGCTTTGCTTCCATTACCTCTCATCTGCCAACAGTGCAGCTTGGTCAGTCAGCGCATATACACACCTGACAACGTCTTGTTATGCAGGGTTTCGTGGAGGTGGTCCAGGATACTGAACTGTTATAGGAGCATCCATCTAACCTACAACCTGGGAGAGAAAAATACAACCTTAACTTGCAAGACAAGGGAGAAGCTGGGGAACAGGAACAATGTCAAGAGCTCAGTTGCTCTAATCGTGTTTCAAGTAGTTTCTAAATTTCAAGGATGTGTCATTTCTAAAATACCTACAACTTCAGACACATTTCACTTGTAGCTTGTGGCTGAGAAGACGGCATGGAGAAGCCAAAGTCATTTTATGGCAAATGATCAAACTTTTTTCCAATTTGTTATTTTGAGAAAGGGAATTTAAGACTGCCATCCTTCAGATAGTAAAGATAACTTTTTTAATCTCCCAGAACTTTGGTCCCAGTGTAGAAATGCAAACTATCCATGCAAATGATCTACTGGAGGAACATTCACTTCCCTGCCAATGTTTCTGTGAATTCACTTTTTGGGAAACAGAAAGAATACATTTTCATTTTCTGCAAATGCTTTAATTTTTCTGCCATGCAAAGAAAACTTTCTTAATCTGAAAACTTAGATTTTAGTCTGGAAAATGAGAAAGCAGTGACTATAATTATGACTACAGCCCGCAAAATGTGTCTGTTCATATGTTTATAGCGGTGTCATTTCTAATGTAGAAAAATAAAGTGTGATCTAATCTTGGCCAAAACTCACGGAAGTGACTAAAAACATCTGGTAGACATGTTTTAATTAGCTTTATATATTGTTTCTTTTCCCTCTCTTTGTTGTTGGTAGCCAAAATTTCATCTAAGTTTTCATTGTAAGATGCATTAAAATATCAAGGAGGTCAAATATTACAGCTGTGAGGTCAAAGTCAAGTCTTCATTTTTGTGACTTAAATCTAATTTAAAGTCTCGAGTCTACAAATAACCACATCTGATTATATGATGTGAATATTTAAACTCCCTTTCAGTTTAATGTTAAATTCAGTGTGTACACACTGATCTCTACCTCATTTACTTGGATGAGTCGCCCCCTGAGCTGTCAGCAGCTGTCTATTCAACTCTAAATGAATAGCCTATTCATTTCATCCCATTTGCAGAAAGTGGGTTCAGATCAATACAGAACTTTCCATACAATGAAACCTGATCACACCCATTGATCTACTTTCCTCAGTGTAAACTAAACCCTGTGATACTGTAATACTGCAGCAGGAAGATGTACAGTATATATTTTATTAGTACGAGTACAAGATCCCACAGAGACCAATACCCTGGCAAAACACTCAAACTGTAAATATACTGCATAAATATGACCGCAGTCAGAAAGAAGGACTTTTGCATTTGTATACCAATATGTAGAAGAACACTCATGTGAAAAACACAGTACATGCTGTGACTCAGAAGCTTTGGTCCCTGTGGCTGAAAAAAAAAAACCTAAAACATTGCCCCTTGACCACTGTGCTCGACAGTTGGTATGAGGTTTTTGTGCTGATATTCTCTTTTCTGGTGTTAGCCAACTGTTGCCCTGTGGATTATGGCTCTCCACTTTGGTCTTATCTGTCCAAAGAACAGTGCTGCAGAAGTCTTGAATTGTACGATAAGATGGTGGGAAGGATTTCCTGAACAATCCAGTCCTGGGAAGGCTGTGGCATTGTGTTAACACACACCTGAATGCTCCGAACCAGTAAAGTGATGATGATCAGTTGATCAACTGCATTTGATTATCATTGACTGGCTCCTAGCAGTAAGGGTATCCCCGCCGAAGAGAATGTTTAAAGTCCTGTGGAAACTTTCTATTTTACAGGACTGTGTTTTAACCCTTTAAAGCCGGTCAGAGCAGCACGCTCCTTTTTGCGTAACTATTTTTAAATCCCTGTAGAACCGGAACCGGATAAGCTAGCGCAATATTTTTTTTTGCATATGAAACCAGAGGAGTTGTACTTACATCTTATACCATCAGCTTGTCCTAGGTCACAGTTTCCTTCCACATAAAGCTTTGCAAAAAATTGCATAAAAAGCGCTTGCAGCAACAAAAACAAAATATTCCAGAAACAGGCTTTGCCGATCCGATCAGCTGTTCGTAACACTTCCCACATTGGGACGTCAACGCGAACTATCGCATGTCCGCCATTTCCTGCCCGAAACCGGAAGTGACGTCATTTTCGTGGAAAATGTAGTTTTTTACTTGTAGGCCTTAAAAGCCTATACTGGTGTTTTTATTAGTCATGTTTGACTCTATACTTTTCTGTGTCGTTTCTGGGATGCTTAGGACTCGAATTGCACTGCTGGAAATAGTTTATTTTGATGCACATGCTGTTTTCTTTGCAAATTTGCATCATAGGATTGTTTTTTGTTTTTCCTGCAGTATATAACAATTGCCATATCTCCAAAATAAAACTATGAAGACACTCAAAATAAATTTCCTGTGGTGGGAAACTATTTTTTGCAACTTTTTTGTATTTAAAGTTTTGAGGGATAAGCCTCTTAAATTTCTCCAAGTAGAAATATATGTTAAAAAACCAAAAACGATTTTCAATTTTTTTGTAGTTTATTGCACTTTTTTGCAATTAATGTAGTTACTATGGACTTAATGCATACATATTATTAAAATATGGGCTATAACAGTTGTATTGATGTATAGCAACTTGAAATGCTCCCAAAAATGGCACTACAACATGTAAAAAAATAATATAAGCTCTGGCGGACTTGGTTCTATGGTAGGTCTTAAAGGGTTAATAAAAACCTGATGACTGTTGTGTGGTTGTTTGGTGAGGCTGCTGAGGAAGTTCTGACAGCTATACTCCTAAAAATACGTATTTTTCAATCTCAAGTGCACTTGCTATTACACTGCTGCATATATAAACGCCTTAATTAAAGCCGCTTTATAAAGCTGTTCCCAATAAACTGATGCAGTCAAGCTGTGATTCTCTTTAACTGTCGGCATGATTTCATAAAAGTGAGAAAATGGTGATATGACATCTAGGAATTAGTGTGTTTTAAAAAGCAAAGGCACAAAGCAGTCCTAAATTTGGTCACAGTGGCTACAACTTAACCACACAACTAAAACTAACACCGACTGCTGTGGTGACGTGGGGCTTTCCATGTCCGAGTCGAGCATGTTCTGTCTCTCTTAACGAAGTGCCGTGTCGTAAAATGGCGAACCGCAAACAAAAGGGCCCCCTCCCTGCCGAGAGCTGGGAGGTAGGTGTGACAGTTTATGTATTTCCGCAGAGCCACATGAGCTTCATAAGCACAGAATAAGTAAGAAAAGCCATCGTAGTGCAGACTTTGTTTAAGGGTCCCCTTTTGGGTTTTTATAGAGGTTAAGTGTCTAAGCCAGTACAGTGGGAACTAAAGATTCAGTTCCTTTTATACTTGCTGGATATTGAAGCTCTACAGCTATGCAAAAATCAGCTACAGTGGCTTACTTTGTCCAATACAGATCTTTTAATTCTAAAGAGGGCAAAAAAATACAACAAGTCAGGGCTCACAATTGTAAATGATATATTTATGTAGTGTGCAGTTTGAATTTAGGTTTGATGATTGCTTCAGCATTATGTCTCTGTTTTAGCCTGAATGCATGTATCTGTTTGTCTTAAATGTAGTACCTAAATGTGCACGGAAAGGGTTTTTGTTAAAATGCCCACTTTAATTAGGCTGATGTAAAGTGACTAAACCCTTACACAGAGGATGAAGAAGGAAGGTATATAGAGGAGTTCCTGCCTCATAAAAACAACTGTATTTTTGTGGGCTGTAAACCCAGCAGTGAACCCCTTCAGCAGCTGCACAGTCTCCTTGTAGTGCAACTGTGTATATGTGGCTTACATGTGAGGTAAATAATGAAGCTTTACTCTCACATGCTCTCCTAATATAGGCCTCGCTGTTAGGATACGGTGAGATAAAGTAGTCCCTGAAGGGTCTGTGTGTGCGTGAGATTAGCATCTCTATATTTCCAGTGTCTCCCATTAGTACAGAGGACCTACAGGCATACATAGCTTTACAATAAATATAAAAAAGCAAAGGCGCACAGGTATTCTCTTATAGTCGCCTGACCTCTGTCCACTTGCTTGTCTTACCTTTACACCTTTCACAGCAAGCTCCAGTCTGTTTCACCACCAGAGCACAGTCCTCTGAGACAACTGGACATTTCTCCTGTTTACAGTCTGCTTTACCGTCCTGCAAAAGAGACAGAGAGAGGAAAACAACACCCAGGGTTATATTTTTCCAACATTTTTCTCCTTTTACTTTTATCCCAATTTTTACTTTCTCACAAATTTCTCTGGCCGTTATTTCTCTCTGTGGAAATTAAAATGGGATATAATACCATCATAAAGTCAAGGATTAAAGGATCTGTCAAGTACAGGAGAGGAGAGCAAATGTTAAATTTGCTGAAGAACATTAAGGAGAAATATAAATAATGTACTTGCCAAAAACCAGGGCGTGATTATTACTGGCAAACTGTATTTTTTTCCCACAAGTACCAAAATATCTGGGCTTTACAATTCCTGACGGTGAACACGTGCATTGTTTAAGGTATCAAAATTGAATGAATATAGAGTCAGCAGTGTGTCTGTTATACCCTAACCCAGTTGACCAACTCTGAAATCATAAAGTGAAAGTGTCTAAATTTCTGACCTCAACATGTGTCTTGAATTATTTTATCCTTTTTAAATCAACAGCCCCTAAAAAGACCAAAACCAGGAATTATTTATTCTGTTAACACTTCTGATTTTTCGCTGCCATCCATCTTACATTGCTTTGATATTTCAGTCTTTAAAGGTCAACACTTTCATCTATCTAGACATGCTCATGGAGTGAGTAAAGCTAAAACTCAGGATAATTGTAATATAAATACTTTTTGTGTGTATGTGGTTTAGGACCACTCTTTACCTAATATACCATCTCCGTTCTCTGCTGTCAACTTCATCTAATGTGAAAAGGCTGCAGGTAAAGTTCCTACATAACAAAGTGACTCAGTCTTCACAGTTTAGCTGTGAATTTTCACACCAGTTCAACAATCCTCCTGTCACCTTCAGGAACACTGCACACTGTATCCGTCATCACCAATAACTGCACCGCAGGACTGGACAGAATCAGCGATTTTTAAAAATTCACTCTACTTTCACACCCAGCTTTTATTGCAGATTTTATCCACATGCTGCGTGTGTTTTATTTTACACACTGTGAGGGTTCATAAAGTGGAGGCTGGCAGGTCCCGTGGCTCTGCAAGCACTGTGGCGGGCGGCTCTAACGAGAACGGATCAAAGGAGGGCGAAAATATATCAGTGTGGTTTAATATAGCTGCAGTGCTCCAACTAAACCCCAACCACACTGAGGACAGATGATGTCATGACATAAGAGCAGGGAGGAGAGAAATTGAGATGGAAAAGAGGGACAGAGGATGTAAAAGAGGCTAGAAGGACAAGGAAAAACACATGAAAGAAAAGAGACAAAGAGGGGCAGAAGAAAGACAAACGTCACGTCTTTATTCTGGAAAAGTTGATTTGAGAATACAACAGTTAAATGACGGTGGATTAGGCTTAATTACTTTTTTCTTTTTGCTCCGTGTCCCTGGCAAATCAGTGTGTTTTATCCAACCAGATTAGATGTGGGATTTCTTCTACACTTGTAGGCTCGTAGCAGTCAAAACATCATTTACCCACAAACCCAACCCTGATCTTAAATCAGAGGTGGGAGATTTCCCAGATGAACATCACAGAAAACAGACATTCACAATGGTGAATGAACGAAACCATGTGGATTTTACCTCTGAGCAACAGGCGTTACCAAATCAGTCAGTCAAAGAGTTTCCGTTTTAAACACTGAAAGAAATGTCAGGCAGCACGAAACTAAAAAAAAAACAACCAATGCATGATTTGGGATTTGAAATATACAACAGATTAAAATACAGTTAAAAGTCCAAAATTTATGCCCATCTTCACACTTTCCAATTCTGTCCCCAGCCATTATATTTGACACTCCTTCCTTAGAGGGTTGGTCACTGCAAAATAACAATGTTGTTCCGCGTGATCACCTTGATTTCTATACTGATCTGCAGCAAATAGAACACCCACATCCATATGTCATGAGGGGAGAATGAAAATAGCCGTATGTTAAAGCCTTCATATATACCAGTTCCCTTCATTTCAAGGGTTGGACTTGTGTGCATTTTTTCCAACAAAAACAAAGAAGTTCATAACCTGAAGTAAAGTCATGAATGCATTAGGATAAATGGAAATGGCATTTCCACTCAGCTTGCCGCTGTTTTCCTAGTATTTAAGTACTGCAAGGAACCAGAAGAGCACATTTTCATCACAGACTAAAAAACCTGGGGAATCGCTAATCACGCAGCCACACAAAACAGGAAAGTGCACAATGCAGTTTTTTACATCCACAAAAAGTCTTGGATGACATTTGGTTTCTATGGTACAGAATGATCTCAGCACAGGCAGCATGGAAGAAATAAAAACATATGAAGAGATACTTCAGACTTTGATTATGATGGCAAACAACAGCAGCAAAAAAATGCAAAAAAATGCTGTTGGGTAAAATATACACAATGTTTACCAAAAAGCAATCAAAAATAAAATGGAAAAAATAAAGAAACATAGAAAGATTTTGTTAAAATCTCACAGTTTGGTCAAATGCTTCCAAGGTCATGTCCTTCTCTCTCTCTCTCTCTTTAGTCATTCATTAGCAGAAAGTGGTGTTAGTAGACCTCCTCCACCACTACCCGTCTTGTCATGAGGTCAAAGGTCACAACAGGTCACCACACCTTATAAACACTCGACATACCACCACGGCACCAATGCTGGCCAACTGGACGTCTGTTGGAGAGTGACGACCCCCTCGACATGTGGAGGGGGATAAAGCTCTGGTATGCTCATAAGTGTGTGTGTCAGACAAAGAGAAAGTGAGCGTGATAATGGCTTTGTGTTTGTGTTTCTCTCTGTACACATGCTACTACAAGGGCTTCCACTTTAACTAATTTACAGTGAACGCATTTGTGTGCAGATCATTAAATTGTGGTAAATGAACACTGTTGATCAAAAACATGCTGATCATGAGGCATGACATAAAAAGGTGTTAGAAATATCAGATCCAGTAAGGTGTGCACCATCAGCATTATTGTCAGTTTAAATAACCTGTGAAAGACTTGATACGTTCTTCTAGAATATTTTCCTTTTTTTTTTTTTGTCTATGTCCATGAAGGCCAAAAATCTTTTATTAGTACAGTTTAAAACATAGTGTGACTACGGGTCATGTACTCCATTGGAAGATGTGTTTTGTCATTAATTTTTTTGACTTGGAAAATAGTTTTGATGATCACTTTTGACACTCAAGTTATTAAAAGTGAACAAAATGTAAATACTTCTCAGTTCTTCACTTTTTTTATGAACATTAAAGATTTCTTGAATGGACAAACAGTCCTGAGCTGTGCCAACAGGGTTGACGTTCCACTAGGAGGCGACAATGTTTGTGTTCACCTTTGCTTCCCCTCATTAGTCTTTTTCTTCTTCTATCTCCTCATCAATCAAACCCTGCCTTTCTACCTACCTCCATCACTTTTCTTCTGTATTTGAAATATATATTTTTTTAATTTAATAAGCCACTCTGGCCTAAATATATCTATCGTGTCTTGTTTTGTGTTTAAATCATTTCCACTAATGTGTTGAATTCATCAAAAGTCAAAGCCTCTTTCTGGCATTCCTCACCTTTCTTTTTGTGCTTTTCCTCAGACACCACTGTGGAGGAAGAGATCAGGTTTTGTCAGGTGCTACAACACAGGAAAAGAAGCTCTCGAATTAATGGCCCACTTAAGCCCTTGGACTCTACACCCTTCCGACCTCACAAAACTTTACAGCCTTTGCCACTGCGACCTTTCACCTTTCCTACAAAACAGACCAGTCGCAACCTCCCACAGACAGAAGGAGACACGGTACTTTTGGGGACGAGACAGCCGTGGAAAGACGCTGATGTTTCCAAAACTGTTTCCACGGGTTGATCTTTCTGACAGGAAAGAGCTCAGCATGACAGTCCTGCTTCTGTGGCCCGGCTGGTTGTAATCGAGGATGGAGTGGCAGGCTGAGTGTACTGGCATGTCTTTAAGTGAAGTGGCATTTTTATAGATTGGTCTAACGTGAAATGTAAAGCACATTCCACCTTTATAACCACTGAGCCACTGACTAACTGACTAACATTCATTTCCCTTTAGCAGCTTTGGGGATTTTAGCTATTTAGTTTTATATTTATTTATACAGGGTGGGCCATTTATATGGATACACCGTAATAACATGGGAATGGTTGGTGATATTAAAGTCCTGTTTGTGGCACATTAGTATATGTGA